AATTCATTCGGGCAAGTACCTAGACAAGCATCCTGGTCAAGTTTGGTGATGATTCAGACAAAAGTGTGACCACTAGAGTGTTAACAAGGTTTCCCCATATTTGGGCGGTGTGACCTAGTTTGTGACTCCATGCGACCCATTTTCAACCTTGACCTAAAAGTCATGAAATTGAACTTTCAGACCAATTTTCATGATATTTGGATGAAAAAGATAGCCACTAGAGTGTTAACAAAATTATTTTTTTCCTGTGACCTAGTTTTCCTGTGAACTCTACCGAGCAATTACCTAGACAAGCATTCTGACAAAGTTTGATGATGATTGAGGCAAAAATGTGACCGCTAGAGTGTTAACGAACAAATGTGGACGGAAGACGGACATTAAACGATCCTAAAAGTTCACCCTGAGCAAGCTCAGGTGAGATAAAAAGAAATCAATAATAGCAACAACAACAACAATTATTAATTATTATTAATGATAATAATATAAAAAACACCAATACACAAAGACCATTATAATGCTTTTTAAAAGGAAGATTTTGGTGCTGCTTAAGGCCTCAACAGACGGTAGGACTTAGTTGTACTACAACACTTATTAGAGATAAGATGAACAATGTCCAGGCCAATACAACACTTGCATTCAGACCGTAATTCTGCATTGTAGGAATCATCTGAGGTTTCCCTCAAATACATTTCCCTCCCAATGGATCCCTTATAAACTTTACTCACTAAACTATTTCTTTTCCATGAGTAATGATTGAAACACCTCCATTTTTTTAATGTGCATCCTGACCGAGACTCAAAACCTTTGACCTTCGGAATACCGTACTGCAAACTGCCTCCCCTGATTAGAGAAGAGATCAAATAGAGAAGCGGAAATAAGTCTGAAAATTGTTTGATGATTTTTAGATAAAGTTCGAATATGAGTCACCTAGGGTCAAAAATTAGGTCACACCGCTAAAATATGGGAAAAAAATTGTTAAACCTTGTTAGCACTCTAGAGGCCACATTTTTGACTCAACCGCCATGGAACTTGGTTAGGATGCTTGTCCGGGTAATTGCTCGGATGAGTTTGATGGGTCAGGTGAGCGATCTTGGACCATCTTGGCCGTTTTGTCTCTGTATTCTTTTACTTTCACCTTTTTCATTCATTTTCGTGTACTAGGAAAATATTATCTATTTTAAAAACGAAATGGTGTCAACGTATCTTGGAAGTAAATATCGAAGCTATTCTACGGGGCAAGCATATCTTTTTAACAATCAAATGAACCTGTTAAGTAGCGCCACCCCCACTACACCCAGCTATCAATTTTCCTTGTATGACTGTCGATAGTCACAATAATTTATAGCTGTTAAAGGCTCTTTACATCTCGTTTCTATTTGTCAGTGCTTGTTCTTCCAGCAGAACCCTGATAAATCTTATGTAATGATCTTATGTCATGTTATTTTTTCTGTGCTCACTCTTTGCCGCGAATCGATTTCATTACATTTAGATCCTTTTTTCACCGTATTATTATTTCATCAATAAGGGCTTTCTAGTTACGTGTTTGTCAATTGCCATGCCTAGGAATTTAACAGTTTTTGTTTTGATAATATAATCTAACATCTCCTAACATTAATTTTGGAAAAAAGTACCATTAAATTCATTTTATGCATTTTGTTTGAACGTGTTTTAATCAAGATTACTCGTGTTTCTATTGGACCTATAACCGTACGTTTACTCCATTTGTCAACTTCAATAAACAATAACTGCATTTTCTTTACTGCAAATTTGTTTTGATCCAGAAATTATCCATGTGGCAGAATCATCTACAAAAAGTGATACTTGTGCATTTATTGTTTTATTCTGTTTATTAAATGATTCTATTGTTTCGCTACATGTATTCTCAATTAGACGTAATATAATTGGACTCAATACACTTCCCTGTGGGCAGCTTTCACTGTTTCGACTATTTCTGAGTATGAGCTTAAATGGGTTGTTCCATCTTTCCAAGATTTGTTGAATAGACTTAATAAAGTTAATTAAGTTCCATTAGGTAATTCTTTATGATATCATAATGTACATTGTCTTCCCCGGGAGCTCCAGATCTACAGATTTGAAGGGGCTTATATTTTAGAAAAAAATAGTGAATTCTTTGTTATATTCTTAAATTCCAGTTCCGCTTCTGTCTTAGTTTATGAACGGCGCGTGCCCTCTAATGTCAGCACTATAAATTCTTGCGTATAGGCCTGGTCACAGCTAGCGTTTTCGTATTGTTTTACCAGCGCGTTCGTCTTTTCTCGTGGGTATGTTATTACTCTATTGTTATTCTATTATTTATTTGGAAAGCTGGCATAGATAATTGTTGTCTTTTTTTTCCTTTTATTTTTTTTCTGACAAATTTCCATTGTTCCTTAGATTTTTTATAAGTGATTTTACTGCAGAATTGTTCCCACGATTGACGTTTAGCTTTTCTTATAGTTTATAGTTTATTTTGCCTCAGATATTGCATTTGTCCATAGATTAAATGTTATGTGTGTTTGTTTTATTGGGTTTTACGTCACACCAACACATTATAGGTCATATGGCGACGTTCCAGCTTTACTGATGAAGGAAGACCTCATGTGCCCTTCTGTGCATTATTTCAGGCACGAACGGGCACCTGAGTAGAACCACCGACGTTCCGTAAACTAACTTGGATTAAAACCCACAGCGGTGAGAGGCAAGTGGTTTGAAGTCAACGACCTTTATCACTCGGCCACGGATGGTCCTATTTTATAGGTGTTTTTTCTCAGCTTTATAAAAAAAATTGTTCTCCTTATTTAGTAGCTTGTGTACATTAATCATACCACTTTAATTTAGGTTTTTGTATTATCTAGTTTATCTAAAAATGGTTGAAATATATGATTTGTCGAACAATCTTTTATAACATAGTTTAATTCTTGTCGACATATTACATACCTCAAGTTAGTCCATTGATTTTCTGTAGCTTTTTCTATAACCCATGCAAAAACTTAATATTGTCTCTATTAATTTCAGTTTTTTTGCCTAACAGCTTTACCTAATGATCGTGTATTAAAGTTGATGGAGCATCTTATACATGTTGATATTGGGTCAAAATATTGGTGCAAATTACATAGGGTTGCATGACTTTAAGAACGAACTGATCCGTTAGTTTACAAATAGCAAAAATATGTCTGTTACATAAAATTATGGTTATGAACTAACTAATTCTTATTGATGTATTGTTTACTTTTTATAAAAGATTAAACTATTTGATTAAACACAATATTGCATATTTGTTTACAATACTTTAACGGGTATTAAGGTATCAAACCATTAAATTCAATAACACAATCTGTGAGGAAGAGAACAATCGTCATATCATCCATGTCTTTCAAAAATCATGGAAAATTCTCCTCCGCTATATATTAATGGAAGTCGTTTGTATTTATTATAGAAAAAAAATTCAATCAAAAATATCTTAAAAAACTGATGAACAATTGGCATATAAACAGAATGTTTTTCAATGAGTATAAAGGTATTTATGGATTAATATATTCAAATTAGCTGCATTTGCTGCTTATTTCACCAAAACTATAATTGATTCTACACCATGTATCCGGGAGATATCGTTAAATTAAACAAAAAGAATCTAAACATAAGCAATGAATCTTAGATATATAAATAAATATCTATTATAGCATAAAATCGGCTATTTTCCCCTATTTTGCCCATGTTATAACAGGCCAAAACCATGTGTAAACATAGTCATGCGCTCTTGTTATAGCCCGGTTTCACCTATGTGCACATTGAAATTATTGATTCGAGGGCCTCAATCGCATAACGACGAGCATCATACAAGTAACTATGCCAGAAATACAGCGTAGAGACATCGCTGCTAATCTTGGTTGTCGCCCTTTCTAAGAAACGGGCAGTTGTCAATGTAAACAAATACCTGCCATTCAGTTTAACACTCCGATTAACTTACAAAACAAGATAACACAAAATGAATATGAGAAAATGTTGTTTTATTGATATTTATGTTGATAAATGCTCTTTATATTTCTTTGAGAGAATAATGCTTAATGTCTGATTTTTTTTATAAACTTGTGTGCGTGAAAAAACCGATTCTGATGTCACTGATCTTTTTTCTACCGTCAATCTGAAATCATTCTAAGAATTTCTGAGGGTCATGTTTTGTCTTCGTAGAGGGTAGAGTAATGTAACGTTGTTTGTTTTTCTTGAGATAATAAATCTCCAATGTCAAGCATTGTTAAATCAATTAAAATTCAAAATTTCATTCGTTCTGAGAATTTCCTAGTTGTTGGCCCGGAAAAATAAAACGCATACAAAAAAACATGTAGAATTGGATAAATACCGTCCAAGCACAAGGATTTAATGTAATTGTGTTTTGTGTTATAACTATACATCACGAATTTGCTTTAAAAAAGTATGCTATAATAGCGTCAACGCACGTTTATTTCGTGTTATAAAGTCTGCAGAGTCCCTCAGAACTGTTGGAGCCCTCGCCCTACCGGGCTCGGGCACCAACCGTTCCTCGGGACTCTGCAGACGTTATAACACGGAAAAACGTGCGTTAACCCTATATAAGTAATTTGCAAAAACGTGAAATTCTGTCTAAACTGGCATCTTGTGGAAAATCAAAGGTAAAAAAGTAAAAAAGGCAAAAAATATTAAAATACTTCAGGTCATTCAACGACAGTAGTCATCAGAGTTGATTACGCCTTTTTTCCTATTATCTTATAAAAACATGGTGATTACTGCCTATTAGGAGTTGATGGATTCAAATATGTTTTGGTATATAGAATTCAAATGACAAAATGCAATTTGAATTTAGATTTGGTTTCAGACCACTTTTTAACAAAGTAAGGCCCTCATTTGTAATGATTGTTAGGCCATAGGTTACTCAAAATTTACGTGCACATATATATATATACAACATGAAATACATGTTGTATTTAAGTTTGGATTCATATGTCTACTTTTTCTCTTTTAACGCAGGTAGTTATGCGATACAATGACATTAACTTATTGCTTGGTTTTGTTTTGTCTAACATCGAGTTATTACTGCAAAAACAAACAAAAATTCGTGAGTACGTGTACTGCATTTTTTTAAGAAGAAGTAATTGTTTATTTATTCCAGTATGTGATTATCGTACCTTTGGATATAATTGTTCATCAACTTGCCATTGTCTTAAAAATACAGATTGCAACAGTTCAACGGGGCGATGTTATATCGAATTATGTGACTTTGGTTGGCAAGGTCCTAGATGTGATGAAGGTATTTTTGATCCAAAATTAAACTATAAGAACTTTTTTGATTGTTTTACTTCTTTTAAAGCTGGTTATTTGAAATCTTCGTGATTGATAACTATAAAGTCAAATGTAGTTTTATTGCGATTATGGTTATTCAGAGTGAATAACAGTAATATTATAACGCAATCAAAATGTTTAACAATCTTATTGTCATCTTATAATTACTAGTATATTATCACTACTGAAGTTATTTATTTTATGCTTTTTTATTGCATTTATTGACTATAATAAGTATAAGACATCCTGATTTTATACGGCATGTTTTTTTCACTTAGAACAGAATATTTTGAGACGTTTAGATGTGCAGACAGACATGTCATCAACATTCCTTAACTGGACATCAAATCTCGCAATCGATGGTAACATTGGTCCAAAACCTGACGTTTGCAATTGTTGTAGCGGCACAAAGAATTCCCTAAAATCCTGGTGGACAGTAGATTTGGGAAAACGGTATCCAATTAATAGTGTTACTGTGTTCAGTAGAGAGTTTGGTAAGTTGAAGTGTTTTTTGTCAGATAAGATTGAACATTAACAATGAACATTATTGTAAACCATAAAAGTATCTGATAATGAAGAATCGCCTGTGTGATAAAAAGATACATGTACTTATCTTATTATAATCATTCTTTGTTCTAGTTATTATTTGAATTTCCGTTATTTTGTTGTCCTATAGATCAGTTATATCAGCAGCTCGCCGATTTTGAGCTATATCTTGCTAACGATACTGGGAAAATCTCGTTTCATCTGGTGGAAAATAGCACAAGAAGCATTGATGGAAATAAACACGTTCTTACATTTTCAAATAAATTGACAAGATTCATTAAGATTCAGAGACCAGGCGTCCTTACTTTGTGCGAAGTGATGGTGTCTGAAGGGGGTGAGTACTTTTCGTCTTAAATCGAATATATAAATATAAATCATAGTACTCTTAATACTATTTCAATTAAATACCATTAAATGAAGAAGTATAGCAATTACAATTTCTAGCTGTTTCCAATCAATTCATGTATAATATGTATAAAACAGGTTCTATGTTTTTATAGAATGTCAGGTGGGAACATTTGGCGAAGAATGCTCCGAGATATGTCACTGTGGTGATGACCTTGCATGTGATAAAACAAGTGGACATTGTCAGTCAGATGCATGTAAATCTGGTTGGATCGGTAAATCGTGTAACCAAGGTAAGCTTACTTATGACTAGCGGTGCTACAAAGTCTAGATTGTATGTTTTATTCAATGAACGGAACAGAAAAGGGGGCGTGAGGGTTGTTGCACGTTTTCAGTATCCCATGTACAGACTCAATCAAAACTAGTCTGCAATGCTCTTGTAATTTTGTTCTGATAAATGCTTCCGAGGGGATCATTTTGTGTCCAGATTTTTATACTTCACAACAGCAGGTGTCAGGTGCTGTGTTGCAGCTGTAAAAAGTTGCCCCGTTCTTCAGTGTTGTCATATTTTTCTGGTCCTTCCGGATCATTGATGCCAGCACTGTTAAGTGTTGAGAATCGAGGGATCACTTTGTGTCCAGATTTTTATACTTCACAACAGCAGGTGTTAAGTGCTGTGTGGCAGCTGTAAAAATTTGCCCCGTACTTCACTTCAGTGTTGTTATATTTTTCTGGTCCTTCGGGATCATTGATGCCACCATTGATGAGAATTAAGTACCGCTCCAGCCGATGCTAGGGGTGTGAGGGATGTTGCACGTTTTCATTATCCCTTATATACAGACTCAATCAAACCGAGTCTGCAATTCTCTTGTAATTATGTTGTGATTAATGCTTCCGAGGGATCACTTTGTGTCCAGATTCTATAACAAAACTCATTTTACTAATACTTCTATTTTGTGGAATTTAGGTAAAGGCATTTAGAAACTAGGTAACATCTTAAGTAAGGGAAGTTTACCTTTAACCGATGTGTCCTTTTATGTATACATTTTTTAAAGCTTTGTTAAATCAATTTGGATTACACACATATATACATTCATTTCATTTAATTAATCAGAAAACAGTATTAATATATCTGAAACCTTTTCGTATATTTAGAATGTCCGAAGAACAGATTTGGTGACCGATGTAGTGAGACTTGTTTTTGTGCTGAAGGTACATGCACTAGTAACTATGGGGTATGTCAGAACGGTTGTCAACATGGGTACACTGGCTCTCATTGCAATCAAGGTAATTTTATGTAATTTGCTGCTATCATTCGTAGACAACAAAACTGTTTAAAAGAAACCTTTGGAATAGATATATTTGATCAATAAATTGTTTGATAATAATATATTGTGCATTATTGTATACAGTTGGTGATTTCAACAATCATACCCGTCCAGCTAACGAAGAGAAAAATTCAACAGCTCTCATAGCAGTTGTTGTTGGCGGATCAATTGCTGGTCTGATCATATGTGTATTAGTAGGTGTGGTTGTTGTGAAAGTAAGACGGAAAAGCAGGTAAGTATTTTTTTAAACATATAGATATTCACAAAACTACCGATTGCAAACACTTTTAATTCAATTACTTTAAATAGATATGATAAACATGAACACAGTGTACAAAAAGAGTGCGTTGCATTCAAAGTATGTTTAGTTTAAACATATGTTTGTCAAATCTATTTGTAATAACATAGACTAGATAATGTTATTTCCGTGAATATTATTTTTCTGTTGCAGCGAAGGTAATAAAAGTCACTACTCAACGCCAAACTCTCGAGCTAATCAACCTGATCAGGATTATGACACTTTAGATATACTTAATGGTAAAAATTTGCTTATGTAAATTATTTTCACATTGTAATAAATATATGAATTATAATACAAACATTCGGTTAAGAGCATTAATAAATAATTTGATCTCAATATTTTCCGGTCAACAGGTCAGGCATAGAGCTCATACATGTTCGTATTTAAGTATTAACATATGTGAAAGGACTAGTTTTTATATCGTAAATTGAGAAATTGTGATATAAATGTTAACCATTATGAGTTTCAGCATTACACATGTAATGTATGCAAAGACGGGGCCACCGAAGACAATGAAATGTTTGAATTTTGTCCAAAGCATTTTTCTTGTTGAATTGAGGGATTTCATAATTACTTGATACAATTATTTACCATCATTAAATATGGTATCCATCGCATGAAACAGGTCAAATATTATGGTTATACACAGTAGTTAAGGTTCACATCAGTCTGTATCATGAGTATCATTCAGGACTGTGAATAATTTCACGACCGGCATATATTGTGACGAAATTACTACTTGTTAAAAGATGATAAAAATCTTAAGGCGGAAAAGATAAATGGAAGAATAAACTTGTTCATCAGTGACAATAATTCTTACTTACAGATAACCAAGGCCGAAGAAACACAGCGTATGAAAATGAAGTTGTGTCTAACATGTGATGTATTTGACTAGAATAACCCTGTTAAAAAGTCTTCTGTATTGGAATCGTATTAAACGAATATGACAATTTTTCTATCATTTATTCATTCATTCATTCATCCATCAAATAATTATAATATGATCAATGTTGAAGCTTTTATCAAGCATGAACTGCAGTTCTTAATATTAAACATTTTGTCAAGCATTTGTGTTTATGTAAAAAATATAACCATTTTAAAAGAATACTCTAACATTGTAAAAACGTTTAAAGAAATGCACTTGACAAATTGAATTTGTTTAATATTTAACATTTAAACCTTTTGTTTTTAGTAGATTTGAAAGATGTATTCTATTTGAGAATGATTTGTTACAAATGACATGACAACATGCTTAGCATTTTTATCTAATCATGATTTTTTGTTATTGGGATCATTATTGTTCTGTCATATAGTAGTTCGTTATGGTTCATAGCATATAATGTAATTATTTGATCTTACGCATATACTATCGATAACATAGCCTAGGGTGACATTCATAAGGGCGTATAAATTTTGATATTGTGAATCTTTTTGCATGATAACATGTATAAGTTTGTAAATAAATCTATTTCTGTGCATGAAATATATGTTAGCCCTAATTATGATGAATAGTACTAAGTAGTACTAAAGAGATAATGTACTGAGTTTGTGTATATGATTTTCTGAATAAACTATATAAGAGATAAACAACCAAATGTAAATAAAATACAAAAATAAAAATACCAGCTTAAACAGGGAGCAGATTAACAGCTTTGACTAATATAAATTTATGAATGATAAACTACTGTGTATCATAGTTCAGACGTCTAGGTTAGAATACGAAGTAGAGTTAAATCGATATGCAATCATACAACAATAGCATTAATCCATGCAATCGCAATAGATATACAACACACTCACAGTAAATACGAGCACTTGTCTGTCTCAGAAGATGAAAGAACTAGAGCATGCTCGTTTAAATGCCTCATGTGCTTATTTATCTTTTTCTTTATATTTTGGGGGGGGGTCAAATTTACTTTTTTCAAGGGTTTCATATAGTGACGACAGGGACGGTGATTTTATTTCTGCCTATGATACAAAAGAGAAACAATATCAAAACACTCGACAATCGGATTTATACTCGGGGAAGAGGCTCTCCTTGCACAAGTCACATTACCCTGTGTTTCGATGATCCTATTACTTTATAGCTTTTCTACAGATCGGTTAAAGCATGAGATCTACATAACGGCATCACCAAAACACTTATACTTACTTATAAGCTCATATTTAGGACGGCAAATCATATATTCCCAGTTGCAACTGGCCGTTGGTATATCACACCATACGATAAGGGAAAGTGTATACGTCAAACTAACATAGGAGATTCATATAATCATTTAGTGTATAATTGTAAACAATCTATTTGATGAAGAGAACGAAAAAGAAGAATTATAATTTAATTATTTTCAAATAGAATTTCCAAATTCGATATTTTGTTTACAACGGAAGAAAGAGACAATTACCGAGTATATATTAGGTAGACATACATATTATACGATAAGGATATTAACTAAAAGAAAAAAGTAGGTCACTCAATTGCAATGAGGACATTCAAGATAGAAACATAGATGAGATGAAACATGGTGGCATTTGTTCACGTTAATAATTTCTCATGTAAAGTAGAACTAGTCTTTCTGGTGGAGCTAAATCATCAATAATCTATTAAGAAACAGAATAAAACAACAAGATGGGTTTCCACAATGTTTGTCTACATTGTTTTTAATATAATCAGAAGATGAGTAACTCTGCAATTCGTAAGAGATTATCATCATGTACGTTAGCCCACGAGGCGTATGGATATACATTTTTAGAAAGGATATTGCTAAGTCTCGAGTGTATTTACCAGTATTAATAGCCCTATATTACATTAAGATGCATGAGTAATTACTTTCATAACAGAAGCAATATATTATTCTTTGGCAAGATCTACTTGGTATAGTGTTAAGGCCAGTAGGAAAAAGACCTTAAAATATATGAACTCACGGATTGCTGTTTCCTCCCCACTAATTATCTTTGTCTTCCCAAGGCGACGCACAGAAGAGTGTCAAGACAGCCACCTCGATAATTCCAGACGTATGTGAATATCAAATATTTCGTTCTAAATACAACATCATATGTCTGAACGTAATAGCCACAAGAGAGGTATCCCTTAAATCAGCTATTGATAAAAGTTCAGACGATTACAAGCACGAGGTCATTGTGAACTGACAGTAATTTCAGGCATAAATCGGTGGCATTCTGTTTTCAGAGGGTAAGGAAAAATAAGTCAATACGTTCCCAGGAGCTTGGGTTTCGGAGGCCTCAGAATACGCTTTAAAAGTCCATAAATAAAATGCAATAGTTTGTGGCAATCCCAGGACAATGACTGATGCATATATATTCAAAAATCTTAACAATAAGTGCCGTTTTGCAAAAAAAAATCATAGCAGAATTCAACATACAATATAATAATACACAAGGAAAAAGTTCGCCGGAAAAAAATGCAACGCACCACCTCCGCTTCAAAATGCACAATGTATTTTAACTCATTCCAAGTATTTCACATAATCCTTTGATACCCAAATCGACAACAGAAAAGACTAAACTCAAATTCTTCACGATCGATGGCCATTTTAAACTTCAACAGAGATAATATTAACAACGCAACAGCGAAAATAAACATCAAATTCTCAAGCCGGTTTTTATTCAAACGTCAATAACAATTCGTAGAATTCAATGACCAGACGGCTATACACGAAGCCTATCCTATATTGGCCCCAAGCTTTGCCGGTGTGCAAAATGACGCAGCGCTATTATTTCGGACCACTAATGGATGCTTTCGTTTCATTAGCTGTCTGTCCAATGGAATTATACGAAAGTTCATCTCGCGATTTGAAAACAAAACGGCGAGAATGATTCCATGTGTTTATTGCGGCTGTTGCGTTTGGAGTTTTATATATTACCGTTGAAAGTTTAAATTGACCAATCATCGTGAAGAATTTAATCTAATCTGCCTAGTCGATGGACCAGTAAGGATTTATGTGAAAATATTGGAAAGGAGTCATAAATACATAGGTATCCAATGTATTTGACGCAACCGTAGAGGGCTGCGAATTATTACCGAAGCAACAATTTTATCTTGATGAGATAATAATAAGCATGTATGACAATAAATCGATTTTTTTTTCAAAATCAGCCAAATGTATAAATTTAAAGATTTTTGATATAGTACATGAATCACGTACACATGTCCTGGCGGATTGACAAAATAGCATTTTTATTTGATTAAAGCACACTTTTGAGCTCCAACCCCAGGAATCGTCTGTGAATACGTTAGTAACATGTATTAGACATAAGGGATACGGGTTGCATATCTATGGTTAATATATGTAAGGCTTGGACACATGGTGGGAGATTAATTGCAACTAGATAACAGTATATCAGAACAGAACAGAACATAATTTTATTTACAGACTTAAACATAGGTATAGTCTGATTTTATTGACCTGTCAATTATGAAAACATTATAGCACTCATTTAAATATTCGATCCCACTTCGGGTCTGTCCGTTTATTTTACGAGAATTAATATGGAGTATATAACTATCATTTGGGAAACTCCCACTAGCTTTATTTAGGTTCTCTAAACATCCGCAATAGCACAGTCGGTAAAGTGAATATCTAATGTATGAGAGGTCCGAGGTTCGATCCCTTTTTTGACATTCTTTTTAGGCTTATTCTTTCTTTATATTTAAGTATATTTTAATGAAAATTGTCAAGCGTTTGCAAAATTGTCTACACGGATATAAAACAACTAAGAAACATTGAATTGTCACATTTTGTATTGTATTTTATTTTACAGCACAATGCAATGACATTTATTTGATTTAAATCTGAATGAATTTTGAATCTTAATTCTTAAACAAGTATAGTATTTACCAAAAAATTGCAAAACATATTAAAAACAACCATAACTTCAAAAATGTTGAAAAATAGTTATGAATAAAGAGAAAAAACTGGACATACGCTGTCTCGATCTTACAACACGTATGGCTACCCGTAGTTTACCCGATTTCGCTATAACGGTCAGTGTAACTAATCAGTGTATATAATTCATAGAAACAGGATTAATTTTATCATAATCTCACGGAATTTACCGAACATTTATCGGATATTAATATATTCTGTGCATTGACCGTATAATCAGTATGGAATTGACAGGTTAATAAAATCAAACAATACATCGTCTTGTTTAACAAAAGATTTGATTAAACATGGTCACATGGCATACGAAAACATACAAATTATAAACATTTTTAAATAAATAAACAATGATTAAAGAGGACAAACTTTATGCAAGATGATAATTACAAATCAGTTTTACTACTTCATGTTTAAATGTTGAATTCTGCTTAAGCCGGTGCTAGGGGGCGTGGACGGTAACTTGCACTTTCCAGTACCGTCCATGAACAGGCTCAATCAAACCGAGCCTGCAACATTTTCAATTTTGCCGTGTTGGGCTTTCTTTAGGGATTCTGTATTTATCTATTTTATGATCACATCCGTGTTATTTGTGCCGTGTGGCGGCTGTAAAAAGTCTCCCCGTACATTTAATCAATGATGTTATATTTTCGATCCTTAAAGATCGTTCAGCACGACATTATTGTTGTGCTTGTGGTATTTTTAGTTTCAACTTTTCGGCATTTTCTAGTCGGGTGGTTCCAATATTCCTACTTGAATAATGTTGAATCACCCTTAGGATATGTTGCCTGCTTTTTAAATTTGTCTTTTGACCTCTTATCTGTGATATGCCGGCTTCATAACCTCTGACCCCCTTCAAAATTCCATTTTTAATTAATTCCGCCCATTGTTTTCTCGTTTAGGGCACACGCTTTTTATTACTTGGGGACCATACGCCGCTTTTCATGGAATGGCACGGAAGTGTCACATTGAAGGTTCCGTGATAACCGCCGTATGAACACATCTGCGGATGTTTCTAAATTCAAAATTTTACTACTTCATGTTTAAATGTTGAATTCTGCTTAAGCCGGTGCTAGGGGGCGTGGACGGTAACTTGCACTTTCCAGTACCGTCCATGAACAGGCTCAATCAAACCGAGCCTGCAACATTTTCAATTTTGCCGTGTTAGGCTTCCTTTAGGGATTCTGTATTTATCTATTTTGTTAAGAGTTAATGCTTGCGTTTCTCAACGATAAAGATTCTTGGATATATTTTGATAACTTAATTAAAATACTTTTATTTTGCGTTGAAAGTAGATCTATAAATTTAAACACAGATGGTCTAACATAATAACATTTTTTAAGATACTGCATTCGAAG